GGCCGCCGCCGCCGCCGCAGCCGTGGCCGCCGCGTCGGCGTCGGCGTCCGCGTCGCCGCAGCCGCCCGCCACGCCGTCGGGCTCGTGCTCGGCCGCCACCCCCGCCTCGTCGCCCGCGCGCCGCCCCCACAAGGACAAGGGCCAGCTCAGCGTGCGCTTCGAGGCGCCGCAGGCCGACGACGACGACGATGACGATGGCGACGACGAGTGCGCCGCCAGGCACAGGTGAGCAGCAGCTGCCACTTCCGTGCGCTCCCGCCACATGTTACCACGCTCCACCTTCATCTCAGATGGAAAACATTAATACTTACTGACAGGCTATGACACGTCTTGATATCGTCTCAGAACCTTTTCTATTTATTATTGTGTATTCACCTGTGACGTGCTATGGGGAGAAGTTAATTTGAAGTTACATTTATGTCCAGAAGCAAAACAAGGGGTCATCTCAGCATTTGCTCGAAGATCAGGGAAACTGGACGAAAACCTGATCGAGATGGGAGTCATTGACCCAGAAGCTGAAGTACAATACTTTTTACAGGTTCTTTACAATTATACAATCCAAATGATATATAATACATTAAATGTCATTTTAAAAATTAATATTACTTTCCTGAACGTTCTCTGTAGTATGTAGTTAAAAAGTCGGGGTGAGTTATCTCACCTCATGGAGGTGGCTGGGTAAAACACTGCCAGGAGGTGAATTGTCGGGGGAGGGAATGTCAAACCCTCTAAGGGAGTTGAGTACCCTCTGCTTGAAAAGTATTTACGTGTTCTTGGCAGCGTTATAATGAATATGTAATATCTGACATATTTATGATTTCAATACTTCGAAGTGTCCAAATGAAAGTATCTAAATGAGATAAAATGAACAAGGCAACATTTTCGAAAGAATTAGGTACTCATATTATGATTCACTCGTGTTGTAAGCTTAAGCGAAGAATGTATCCCTTTTACTGGGTATTCATTCCTCAATTGTCAGCAGGGTTTGCCAGATTGGGGACTTTTATCCACAAAGTGGGATTTTTTTCATTGTAGGGAAAGAATGGGGATGGGGAAATGTTTGGTAATTGTTTGCGAAATTATGTTCAACCGGCGTGGAGATATCAGTATTATTCTCTTAATTATTATGTATAAGAAAGAATCATTTCACGTAATACTGTCATTTTTATGTATCAAAAAGAGATAACTAAACGAAAGAGAGAAAAAGGTAGGATATGGCTTCGAGCAACTTACACAACGATGATTAGTTAATTTGAATTGCTTGATTTTAAGAGGACAGTCAATAGAGTCGTCAAGAACAGCTCATGTTGATTCATAATTTGGAGAATTTTTTTTCATTGGGGGAAATTCCTTAGTAGTGGTGATGGAAGAGCTCACAGCACACCTGGCAGCCCTGATCGTCGGTCCTCGAGGTTTGAACGCGGCGGCGCCTGTTCCAGGCAACGGACGGCGTTCCCGCGCAGCCGCAGCTACTCCGGGCGCTCGGGCCGGTCTTCGTCGCACCGCGGCGGCGCGGGCGGCAGCGGCGCGGGCCTGGACGACGAGTACTGCTCCCCGCGGCGGCGGCCGCCGCGCAAGACGGCTTCGGAGAGCGCCATGGGCGGCCAGGGCTCCCGCGACCTGGCGCTGTCCGACCTGGCCACCACCTCGCCGTCCGACGACCGCACCGACGCCGCCAGCTACTGCTCCACCTGCTCCTCCAGCTCCTCGAGCGACGAGTACGCGTACGCGCTGCCGCCGCGCCGCGCCTACGGCGGCGTCCGCATCTCCTACGTGCCCAACGACGCGCTCGCGTGCGCCCG